CCAAGGGCGGCAAGGCGAAGATCAGACTCGACTTCCGCGACAATGCGGTTTTGGAAGAGGGCGACGGCGCTTTCATCACCGGAGTGAATGCCGGAGATGTGCTTAGCGTGGAGAGCGTCGGAGAGGCGGAAGCTGAAGTCGTTGTCCTGGACAGCAATTAGACGTGCTTTGGGGACTGGCGTTTCTAGACGGCGTCTGGTTTGTTCAGGCTTGGACCAGCACGGTTGTTTTCGTTTTATAGGGTTTCATGTGTTTTTGACTATAGATTATGGCATATGTACCAGCGCTGTATTTATGATTGACTTTTAATGAATCTTTTGGTTTACCACGACTACCAAGTCCCCATAGAAGCCTTTATGACCATTAATGCGGAGAGAGGTTTAGTGAGCCGTGTGGTACGTATTGTTCATTCCCAGATGACCCGTTAATGGAAGTGGCTAGTCCAGCAATCTATCCTTCATGAGTCGTAGCTGCCAATCTTTCTCGGAAGACGATCTCTTCCTAACCATCCTCAATGATTGCTCTAGGGCTCTCCGATCCACTCGCATCCATTTGATACTTCCACCGAACCATTATCTCAATATTCTGGGCCCTTTAGTTGTTATGGGGTCGTCATAGTCCATACGAGCTCACTCCGTTATCCCTGCCCACTCATCCACCATTTTCGAGCGTCGCGTCCATCGCAGCATGGCTCTTCTCTTGGACCCCAGCATCTCAACCCATGCGCATCTCATAGAATGGATTTGCTACGGCCGTCACGAAATCAGAGACCCACGGACTGGCTGAAACACATCTATTGACAAGCCAGGCCCTCCAGATGAACTCGGCGACAGCGACAGCATAACTGAGACTCAAGGCTATGAAAGAAGGAGGAGAGTAAGGAAAAAGGAGAGAGGAGAAAGCTTGTCCAGCCCCTGAATCCACCGCAAGAACGCAGCAGAAGGGGATGCAAGATCTCGAATGACCATCTCGTTGTCCCCTGCGAATCACAGGGACACCAAGCAATCAACAACGGCTGGTCCTTACCGAGCCCCGCCAAAAAATCACCTCATCCTCAGAGCATCTGATAACTAACATATCGATTAGATCTCAAAATGTGTCACGACCGGTGGCGAGATCCTGACCCAACTCGCAACGGGCTGGACCGACCGCCCGAACACACTCAAGACAATCAGACAGTCAGTTAGACAGACAGACCGTCAGTCAGTAACAAACACAAAACGTGCTATCCTCGGAGCGGTCCGCGGTTCCGAGCGGACAGTCCGACATTAAGGTAGACTGATTAGGCAGGTCACGGGAGTGATAATGCCTCAAAAGAAGCCGCCTCGAAATTGCCCGCGGAGACATCAACCCAAAAAAAATTAGCACGGGCTTTGAAAGAACCGGGGTCATGCACGCACCCTCTCACCGGAGAATGGGGACTGGATGGAGCAAACGCACCATGACAGCATTTAGTCTCCCAGTCCAGCCCCAGCCCAGCCCTGTATTCACTACACTAGAACGTCGCAAAGGTGCCCTTGCAAGATAGGCCAGCGGCTAGTCCACGATACCCCGCTTCCTATTGCGCGATTACTACCACTTACGGGGTAAGTATTTTGCTGTTTTAGCTTTATTGGGGTTCAACGGATTGTGCAAGAGACTCTCCATTGGTATGAGTCATCAGATAAGCAATCGTGGTTTCTTTCTCTCCCTCCCCCAGAAAAGGTGAAATAACCGCTACAGCTGACCCCGCCACCTCGGTCTAACGGGGCGGATTGTCCGGAGGGGTTGATTCTGGGGAATTCCCCCCGGTTTTCAGATCGTTGAATCATGGGTACACGTAGGGATGCTGATACGGAGGACACCGACACTGACACGGACAACCGGCGCCTTTGCTCACTTCCCCCCAACGGAGTCCGTTAGCTCTGAAAACTCCGACTATAGTACCCATCCAGTTAGCAGCTAGAAAAAATCTTCAACTCCTGGTGATTGTGATCAAGGATGAGTGACGATCCGCTTCATCCGAGCACCGTACCCAGTCTTGGCAAGTTGGCAGGGACGCGTGAGAATGTGCGGCGCACGGATTGGCCGGCGTGAGGGGGGAATCCATCGCCGAAGGATATGGGTCTGGAGACTGGAGCAGAGCGTGGGTAGGTTGATGGCCGACGGGGCATTCGCTATGTCTCTCAGCTTCTCGGCTGCGATTCGGTTTTGACCGAGATGCGCCGTAGGTAGTGCTCTGATTACCTGCGGCCCTGTCAATCTTTTCTTCAGAGACCTCCCACAGTCCCTAGACGTGATAAGGATGAACGAGTAGTTACTGTCTGCCTGACAGTTTCGATATAGTTCTCAGGCTAATCGCCAGTTAGCGTAGGCGGTGATGGAATTGGGATGGCTTGCTGGTGGCCCGAGGGCGATCCGCGTGGTTAAGTTGTGCTGCTTTTCTTCCCCGCTCTGCCAAAGACTCGCTCTCTCATTGGCCTGCCACTGCCGGGATCGGATCGTCTTTGAGGGGGACATTTTAATTGTTCTTACTCTTTTGTCAATTCAATTCATTTTATTCTTGATTTTTTTTTATTTCTCCCCCTCATGGCTTTCCATCAGCCTTGATCGTCGCATTGATACCTTTGTTGGAATAACTCCTCTTCATGCTCGACAGGTACACCTCCTGACCCTTATGTCATACGCGACAGGGGGGCAGCTCACCTACTCTCTAGAATTGAGTTCGGAAATGCTTGCCTCTTCAGCGTACAGTCCGGGGGGAGGGGGGTAGAACAACAGCATCAACAACAATAACATCACCTCTTCAAAGGATGCCGTAATCCCTGGCTTCTTCCTTCCACTGCTCTCATGATGCCATCATTCGGCCATCATGGGGGACGAGTCTTTTGAAGTTCGCCTTCCGACTACGCTTGAACTGCATCCCGAGTTACGTAAAAGTAAACCCAGTCAATGGCCACGCCAGAACGAGTTGGTGGATGGATGTTTCTGGCGAATTCGCCTTTCCAGGCCCTGAACTACGACCACTACTGTCAGGGCTAAGTTGATAATGGCGGTCTCTTAGACTTGCCTGATCTGCCGACATTGACGGCCATCCCCGGGGGTTAAAATGGGCGTAGACGCTAGAACGAGGCCAGGGAAGGTGGGATATAGATGGAGATGGCCGACAGACAGGAAGCCTCGAAGAAACTAGAATCATCAATCAAAGCTCTTATTCCCTGACCAGCCATACAGGAAAGAAGCGAGCACGAATTACTAAATCTCCCCTACCCTGGAAAAGGATATTTCATCCAGAGTTTTCAAGCCGCCTGACATGGCCCATTTTATGACTGATTGTCATTACTCGATATAAACCACCTCGGAAACCACATCGGATCAGACTCCCATCACGGGACGAGGCGTGAAAGCTCTGCCTTCGTCATTTCTGCAACAGTCGTCTTCTTTTTTTTTTTTCTGTAAAGCACGATTTGAGGCATTTGAAGAGCCGTGTACTAGTCTAGTCTGCGACTCCATTCTTGTGTGTAGTGCGCGGTAAACCCCAGACGATCCCAATCCAGACCAGTCGGCTGTGTCTCCTAGGGTACATGGTGGATGCTGCAATTCTTGCTTGTTGGCTCCTCAGGTCCCCATCGTGTCGCAAAGACACACAGACCGCAGTTACTTATACAGCCGACAGCGCGTGCCTTCCCACCACCTCTTTCCTCTTGTTGAACTGTAGTACATCGCGTCAACGACTTACCTGGGAGCCTCCCTAGCATACATAAAGTATCGTTCCGCATCAAACCTTCATACCTACCTACTACCTATTGCCTGTTCTCTGCCCTTGCCTCCGGTGTGGTACCCGGAAATAACATCCCCCTCTTGTTCCTGGATTTAGCAAGATCCTGCTGCGTCTCGCGAGGCGATCCTCGTGCATATATCGACTGTTTCTGGCCAGCAGGGCTGATTAGGGTCTCCTTTGGTTGTGGGTGCGAATCTCGGAACCAAGCACTGGGCCTGATCCACGGGGCTACACTGGGAGATTTTTTTTTTCTTTGCAGTTTGCAGTGCTATTGTGGATATCAGTTTCGGCTTCAATTGTTTGGTAGCACGGGAAATTCTTGTAAGTCTGGTGTTCAATTTTTTCCTTGCCGGGCCATTATCATTTGTTCTCAGGATTTTTCTCTCCCCTTATTTTTCACCTGGTTATTATTACTTGACTTTTTGAGGGGAGGGGAGGCTTTGCGTTATCGGTGCCCACTGCCCACTGCCCACCAACGTGAGATCAATTCCCTCACCTGGCGTCAGACCAGGCCTCCCGGGGGTGGTCCACAAATCCACATTGCTGGCCCATCTTGGAGTATCCGGTGATTCTTATTATTCACATTTCCTTGCCCTGGTCAAGGGGCATTCGTATTGTGTGCATTGAACGGCCCAGAAAACAGCGCATTTTTGTTATCCATTAACTAACCAAAACTCCCTGCTCTCGACGAGTCAGTGTGGTGTATAGTAACTTTAGTCTCAGCTGCGCCGATTTGGAGGGTTTGAGAAGTTGGAGCATTATCGATTATCGACAATCCCGCCGCGCCATCTCCAACACTTTATTTTTATTTTTTTTATTTTCTTTTTTAACACTTCTTTTTTTTGGCTCTACTTCTCCTGGCAGCGGAGTCTTTTTAGTACGCGGCGATTTCCTCATATTTTCTGCCCGACGGATATCATCCCAGGAAAGCAACTTCCTTTCATCTGCAGCAGCAGCAGCTATCTTTAAGGCTTGCATCATCGATTTGTTCAATTGCGGCATAACTGGACAAATCCGTCGCGACAACAGGGACGACTAGTCCACTGAGCTACATAACAAATAATTTCCCCTTCTCGAACATCGCCTTGGAGAAGTTGTTCAATAGTGAACAGTGATCTCCACGTACAATTTCTCCTCTACCCCACCGTGCCGCCGTTCGTTTCTCCCTGCTTTGAACCACCGCTACTTTGCTGCACTAGTCACAACGTGCGCTGTGTTGGTGGCATACCACCTGACCTTGTCTCGGATTGAAGGGAACTACATTTACTTGCATTGGCCTGCTCACCGATCAAGTACTGCTACTACTTCACTTACCTTGAGCTCCTACTTCTACTATTGATTTTCCTCCCTCGTGTTCCTCTTTACCCCGCATCCTCTTTTCTTTCCTCCCGCAGCCCGTCGGAGGCTTTTTTAATCTTTCCGCCCTCCACATATTCTTCTTCCCCTCCTCCTTCTCCTCCCCCTCCCCCTCTTCCTCATGACACAACAAAAGAAGACCATCGCCGTGGTAAACGCGACGGGTCGCCAGGCTGCGTCTTTAATACGCGTGGCCTCGGCCGTCGGACACAATGTGCGCGCTCAGATCCATTCTCTCAAGGGCTTCGTCGCAGAGGAGCTGCAGGAGCTTCCGAATGTCACTCTATTCCAAGGCCCGCTGCTGGGCAACACTCCCCTGATGGACGCATTATTCGAGGGCGCCAACCTTGCATTCATCAACACCACCTCACAATCAGGCGACGAAGTCGCAATCGGCCGCGACCTCGCCGACGCCGCCAAACGAGCCGGAACCATCCAACACTACATCTACAGCAGTATGCCCGATCACTCGGTACATGGGCCCTGGCCTCCGGTACCGCTCTGGGCCCCCAAATTCACCGTCGAGAACTACATCCGTCAACTGGGACTTCCTTCGACCTTTGTCTACGCCGGAATCTACAATAACAATTTCACGAGTCTACCCTACCCCCTCTTCCAGATGGAGCTCATGCCGGATGGAAGTTTCGAGTGGCATGCGCCCTTTGACCCGGACATTCCGCTGCCCTGGCTGGACGCGGAACATGATGTGGGCCCCGCGTTGCTGCAGATTTTCAAGGATGGGCCGAAGAAGTGGAATGGACATCGGTAGGTTTGACTTGTTGTTTGTTTGTGATGGGGAGACGGTACTAACGACCACAGTATCGCGCTCACATTCGAAACTCTCTCTCCCAATCAAGTTTGCGCTGCCTTCGAGCGCGCTCTCGGCCGCCCCTGTCGCTACCTGCGCGTCCCCAAGGTCGAAGTGAAAGTCAACATTCCGCCGGGCTATCGAGAACAGCTGGAGGCGATTGAGGTGGTGTTCGGACAGTGCGACGCGCCTTACTTCCCACAGCCCGAGTTCTCCCGTCCGGCCGCTGGATCCCCCAAGGGACTGGGCCCCGCCAATGGCAAAGGCGCAGGCGCGGGAATGATGCAGGGTCCCGGAGGGGTGATTTCGCTTCGTGTGACCGACGAGGCCCGGCATTTATGGCAGGGGTGGCGCGATATGGAGGAATATGCGCGCGAGGTCTTCCCGGTGGAGGAAGAGGCCAACGGATTGGACTGGATGCTGTAGTGGTGGGAAGATCATGCCTAGTCCCGTCCAGTTTGAGCCGACGGGCACGTGCGCCGGTGTCGGTGAGTCTGGCTTGGCCCGTCACCTGACCGATGGCGCGATTGGTTTGCGATAAGGGGAGGTTACATTACATCCCATCGATTGATGGCCTGCCTGAACCCAACCTCTGGGGCTTTGACCGGTCGGACTTTCTGTCGAAGTCCTAAATCCCTCGCTCACGACCGACACTTACAACACTCTACTCACCGCTTTGCAATCCCGCCTGTTGGCGTGCATTTTCTTGTTGTCTTTTCCTGCATGCATGCATCACCGGCGAACTGGCCTGGGTTTTCCTTAACAATGTCTCTTGGGGCAAGAGACATTCAAAAAAGAGAGAGACAGAAGATCTATACCTTAATGGGAAAGCCACAAACAAGAGGAATGAAGATTTGAGGGCGTCGCCGCTCTCAACTCACCTCCGGAAAAAAGTTTATTTTATTTTTGATTTGATTCTTATCATAATATTCTGGCTGAAACGCACGTCACGACTATGCAGGCATGATACTGGACACGTCGGATTGATTTTGAGGGTCATAGTCAATCCGCACGTGCCAAAAGTTTCTTTTTCTTTCTTCCGTTGTCGCATTTTCATATCATTTGTGTTTTTGATATGGAATTGGTGTTGCTGTTTTGTGTGTGTGTGTGTGTGTGTGTGTGTGTGTGTTTGCTTTTAGTTAATTTATTCCCCTCGGATGCTGTGAGCATCGGCGGCTACTGATTTATGAATTTGATATTCTCAGAATTGATCTGGGTTGAGGTCTGGAGATATGTATGTGCTTGTGCCTCTATTTATCATTATCCATGCTTCTATTGGAGTAGGCCCGACTATTTTAGGGAAATGGCCGTGCAAGACACGCAACAAGCCAGTCCCGCTGTCCACGGAGTATAGATATGTGATATTCATTGGTATCTTCTCCTATCACCACGACAAATACAGCCCCAGACAGGAATTGGGCAAGTGAAGGAGACCTCTGTACGCTGTCACCTCTATAGCACAGAAAGGCTAGCTAGTCATCTTGCCTGATATTTGGCCTGAAGATATGCTATGCATGCACAAGTGTCGTAGCAAATGACGTCACTCCCCAACCCTCCACCAACATCCAGACAATCCGAGTGACAATCAATAATATTCTATCTTTGAACAATAGATGTCGACTACAAGAGTAGCGTAGAGCCGTCCAGCCCGTAAGGAAAACTATACTGTACCTCTATCAAGCACATTTACCAAGTAGTAACAGAAAGTAATCACAGCATAAAAAAATTCTATAATTTTCTACTAAGTTACCTTAACCCGCACAAATAATTCGAAAAAGTTCCCCACTCACCGCGCGCCCATGAAACTAAATGTAAATGAAGGAAAAAAAAAAATCCCAGCTAGGTAAATTAGTCTAGCCCCCGACAAAAAGCACCTGAAACGGTGGGAATGGCGGTTAAGGATTCCCACTTTTCTGTGTGTGCGCGCCAATCATGATGGGGTTGATTAGGGGGTTAGGGGATTAGCTTATTCCGATACTCACTTCTTGGATAATTTCACTAACTAGGGAGTTGCATTAATTCAAGACTTCTAGCAGAAGGTGAGTGGAAGGCAGAAGGCGGTTTGTTGGAACTTTTTTTTTTCATGTGTAACCCCAACCCCGTGCCTGTGCCCGTGCCGGTGCCGGTCCCCGTTTGTTAACGTTCCGAGTAGGTAGAGTTTTTACTGTCGAGGATGGATGGGAATTGTAATGCTACTCTGCTGTACCTGTACCTGTATCTTACCTTTAATACCCCTTATGATTACTGTAGTAGCTGAGTCTGGACCTTGAAAAAAATTCTCCTATCTCTCATTTTATTCTTCCCGGAAAAGCCATGCTGTAAGTTACCTGGGTAGTATATAGGAAGCAGAAGCAGCCTCCCGTACAGTATCAACAGCAATCTAGTGTAGTAGTTAGTTACTAAATTAGGGTAGTTAGTCAAGTTAACCAGTTAAGCTTAGTTAGTTAACTTAGCTAGCACCCTTAGTCAGGTAGGTCAGCTTCCCGCCCGTCCACCTCACTTTGAAAAACCCGGGGGTGGGAATCCGCTTTGCTCTGCTTGACTTTCAACTTTTTTTTTTCTCTCTCTCTTTCCTCAAACCGAACCACAACTGCCTAACTCACCTTTAATTTTTCCTTGTGAGGATTGGATTTACTGGCTTCAAACAGTATTAATCCTGATTACGAACGCACAAACCCTTACGCACATTTTTAAATATCTTATAGCGAACCAAAATGTCCGCCGAAGAGCAGAACCAGTCCTTGCTGGAGCGCATCCAGCGGCCCGAGGTGAGCAAGGAGACGCAGAAGAAGATTGCGCTGGTGGAGCAGGAGTTTATTCAGGCTGAGGTGGAGCAGCGTGAGTTTTTTATTTTCCTTTTTTTTTTTTGTAGACTGGGTGTCGCAGAGCTACGGAGCTACGGCGTTGCTGGGTCTTGAAGCGATTCGCATTCGGCCATTGGACTGGAATGGCAGCTGCTGCGTTCTTTCTTCTATTGGGGGCTGTGATACTAATGCTATCTGGCAATGCTGCAGTCCGCCACTCGACCCTCCTCCTCCGCCCGCTCTTCGCCAAGCGCAATGAGGTCATCTCCTCCCCCGACCTGCGCGACACCTTCTGGACGCGCGTGATGCTCAACGCCCCCGCCGAGGTCGAGGAGCACATCACCATGACCGACGCGACGATCCTGGCCTCCACGCTGAAGAACCTGACCGTCGAGCGCTTCGAGGTCGACGACAAGGGCATCGGCGAGCCCCGCAGCTTCCGTCTGACCTTCGAGTTCCGCACCGGCGACGAGAACCCCTACTTTACCAACGACAAGCTGGTCAAGGACTTCTACTGGCGCAAGCAGGTCATCACCACCGCCAACGGCCACAAGCGCCACTGGGACGGGCTCGTCTCGGACCCCGTCCGCATCAACTGGAAGGAGGGCCAGGACCCCACCAAGGGCCTGCTGGACGCCGCCTGCGACCTGGCCGAGGCGGAGAAGAAGAAGGACGCCGACACGGACCGCAAGGAGCTGAAGGAGTTCGAGGCGCTGATGCGCAAGCGCGATGAGGTCGAGGCCGACGAGGAGCCCCAGGGTGAGGATGAGGAGGACGACGTGCCCCCGGATGCGGACCTGAGCTTCTTCGCTTTCTTCGGTTACCGCGGCAGTGATGTCACCGAGGAGCAGTCCAAGGCCGCGACCAAGGAGGAGGAGGAGAAGTTCGAGAAGCTGCGCAAGGGTGAGGAGGTGGGGGAGAATGAGGAGGACGAAGACGACGAGGACGATGATCTGGAGGACGACTTCGAGTTCATCGAGATCTTCCCCGGTGGCGAGGAGCTGGCCATTGCCGTTGCTGAGGATCTCTGGCCCAATGCGATGAAGTACTATGGTAAGTGTGGTGGCCTCGACTGCATTTTTTCTCATTCACACTGGCTGACTGACGGTGGTCTAGTCACGGATCAATCCATCGAGGAGGTCGACTACAGCGATATTGACGCGTCCGAGGATGAGGACGACGAGGAGGAACAGTCCCGTCCCCGCAAGAAGACCAAGGTCTAAAATCCGCGGACCGGACGAAACTACCTCCCCTTCAAAGCACAAGGAGCAGGATCAAGAGGAGGATTAGAACGAATATCAAGACCGCGATGGCGAAGGAGGACATTGTATCTAATGGCGGGACGATCAGTATCTTCAGATAGGTTGGATAGAACACCCAAAAGTTGAACTTCCTTACCTTCATTCTTCCGGATGATGTGTTTCAATCGCGACATCCCGTTCTGTAGTTTGCCCCCGACCCGATCGGCCAGGGTATCCACTTCGTCAATCATCACCGCTTGCTCCTCCAGCTCCCGCCCCATATCATCCGCCTGCTGCCGGAGATTGCCCACCGTCCGAAACACCCCATCCAGCTGCTCATCCTGCTCATGCATCAACTCCATTTGCCGCTGCTGCTCCATGGCCGCATAGTAATCATCGCCCCGCTCCCCGGACGGCGACAGCAGACCCCCGTCTTCCTCATCGAAATCCGCCGGATTCGGCAGATGCGAGGACCCCGCACCACCGCCACCACCGCTCGCCGCCGCCGCGGCGTCTGCCGTCGTGACCGCCCGCTGCAGCTCCTGGCGCATATTCTCGATCTCGGCGCCCACCTCGGTGACGAGACTCCGGCGACGCTGGACCTCTTCCAGCTCCAGACCGAACCGATAGGGATCTTGCTCGATGGCGCGCACGCTCTCGACGAGGTCGTCCAGGTCGGCGGTGAGGTCGGTTAGCGTGGTTTCGAGCTCCGAGCGCGCTTGTTGCAGCTCCGGGTTGCTGGGGGATTTGGCGAGCGAGCGGATGCGCAGGTAGGAGGAGAAGAGCGGTCGCGTGGTTTGTAGGGTGGAGAGGACGTCCCTGATTTTGTTCAGCTTCGGGGTGGATTCACTTATCGGTGTTTAAGGGGATTGGGAATACTTACGCTTGGACTTGGAGGAAGGGGTCTGTGTAATCCATGATGAGACAATTTGGATATTGTGGTGTATGTTATATAGAGGGATAAATAGGGCGGAGGTGTGACAGGAGGGTAGGGTGTAGGTGGGTAGTAGTTAGAATGGGATGGTTGTTGGATTGTCTTCGAGATGTTGTTGATATGGGCGATGGTGGCAGGATCCCCGGCATGACGCTGGATACGGTCGGGCGGTGGGGAAGGCGGTGGTAGCATTAGTAGCAGTAGTGGTAGCGGGAGGAGGGTCTGTGCTTGTTCCCGCTTCGCTGTAGTTATGCAAATATCATGGACTACATACAGTACATTGTTATGTAGTATTCTCTTCTCAAGCAGGGCACGGAATGTGTGTGTTATCAGTCTGCTAACCTGCTGGGATGAAGGAATACTGATAGTAAGTTTCAGAGGAAGAGGAAAATTCTTCTGCACTATACCACATATCACTGATATGTAACGAGCCACAACAGTATGCGTGATTCCAGAGGACCCAGAGCACCCGGCTCTTTCAAAGCTACTCTTTCAGGGTGGCACCTAATTTCGGGATCATGCCAATCTATTTCACTGTTGACGGCGAGCCTTGATTATAATATAGCGGTATCGTCAGACGCTAATCGCAGCCAAACATGTGCAAGAACCATTTAGCAGATGGCTCTACAATTCCTAGGCACCCAGATGGAACTTCGACAGAAGCACCAGAAGGCTTTAGTAAATAACTCAAGATGTGCCCTACTCCACACAACCCAGCGTGAAGATGTATCACCGCTGATCCGACCAGAGGCACCAGATACCCATCTTTCTTTCAAGTTCACAGTTGTGAAAGCCCAACAAAGAAAGTCCACATTACGCGCGGAAGTTATCTCTTCAGTTCTTGAAAAAGTGAGACATTATCCCCTTTCCGCGACGATTATCTATGAGTATGAGTCGGTGCTCAGTCAATATAAAAGAACCAACATAATACCCTTTTTCAAATGAGAGTCAACCTCATGACACCACGATAACAACCGTCAAGCCACAACTTAAAGATACAGGGGATCAGCAACTCGAAACCGGGGACCATGTCTAACGACCGCGATTATACCTCCGGCGATGCTCCAGAACGTGCTAGGGTCTTCAAACTGGAAGACCTGCCCATGGACATCTTGTATGTGATTGTTGAACAGATGAACTACTGGGAGCTAATGAATTTCAGGTTAGCTGTTCCAGCCTTGAGCGACACTCTGAGAGGCCTGCTGAAGAAGCGCTGCCTCAAGTGGGCTCTTCCCTCTAAGAAGTATTACGAGCAATTCACTATGGTTGACGAGAATGGGTTACCACATGAAAATCACTCGAATTGGTCCATCAATCACAGACCCGAAATTATCCCACAGCCCTTTGTACAGGCGATCATCCGCGGCCATTATCAAGTCGTGCAGAATGTGCTGGATGCTGGCGTCCACCCCCACAGAAACTACGATCTCTTTGGAAACTCATTCTGGCATATTGCTGTGCGAACCCGAAACCTCCAAATGGTCCAGATCTTTCTCTCCCACCCGGAGATTGACGTCAATCAGAAAACGTGGACCGGGTACCAGGCATTAGACATGCTGAGCCCGGAGCAACGGCGGTATCTCTCAGACGATTACCCAACCCTTGGGAGGATCATACATTCACGAGTCACCGACAAGCCCTGGACGGCCACTGTGGGGGGACATCAGAGGATCATTCGGCTTCTGCTCGAGAAGGGTGCAGTGTTTTCCTCAGCCGATTGCTTCATCCATCTGGTCCGACGCCCGGACGGGCTGGAACTTCTCAGATTGGCAATCCAAAATGGCCTGTACAAGGATGGCCGCACTACGGACTGGTACACGCTGTATAAACATATCTCACGCTGTATTCAAAAGCTTTCGGTGAACATTTTGGATGTCATAGTGCAAGAAATCCCGGAGGTGCTGTCGATGCCCGGGCTCGGATTGATGCAGGATGCACTTGGACAAACCTCGTCCCCGTACTGTAAACACGCATCCCACAAGTTCGCCGCGTACATGATACGAAAGGGATTCTGCCTCAAGCTGGGTTATCATTGGGACAGAAACGAATACCCTGAGTTGGCGTTTGTTCTTGGTAAACTGGAACCGAATCCTAAATTCTATGGCTCGAAAGTCCTGCCCCGGAACGTCTGGAGGAAATGGGCCTCGCTTGCTGAGCTGCTGCTAGAGCGGCCTGAGTTGCAGAAAGATGGCTTTGAGGCATGGAGGGACCCGGACTTGATTCTAAGAAGCCCACTCCGGGAGGCTCTGGTTGCCAGAAACTGGGACGAGATCCGAGCTTTACTCAAGGCAGGCCCTAATCCTTGAAGCTGCAGGGGTTTCTTTGATGGCTAGCGTTTTCTACCTGCCAAGACTATTGTAGAAAGACAGTTCTTACTATCTGTATCACTTTTTCAGAGATTCTAATCTATCATTGTAATATTCTTCCCCTGTCTATGTTTTGCACTCATCTACTATATGAATATGAAGTCATCTGCCATGGCGTACTAGTGCTTCTGTAAAATCTTTTCTAGTTCCCAATACTGTCGTCACCAGGTGTCATGATAAAGAGGTCTGTTGCATGAGACAATCGCTGGAGTTCCGAAGTCACCTGATGACCGCGCCTGGATCACCTCATAGTCTAAGCGACATGTCATCCTCCATCTCCAATAGCACCTTGTCAGTCCTGTCATTTCATTTTCTTCAATTTGAGACATATACTCTGTTGCCTCTTTCTAAGCCTACCTGTGACAAATGCGCTGGCCAACGGCGAGAACTTGTGCCACGATCTTTTCACCTTGCCTTGCGGCAATATCACAAAACGGAGACAAAACGAAGCAGCAACCTACATGAAGAAATGGCGTATTGCTCTCTAGCCTCTGATACCGGCAAATTTCTTGAAAAGTGCCTCTATGTCGGCGACCCTTTCAACAAGAAACGGAGACGCGCATTTATATAAAAGACCCCAAGGGTCTACGTCTCGCCGTCATGAAAACCCAACACCACCCCACCGGACCAGCGCTGAACCACAAGCCACGATGGCCGGAAAACGTCAGAAGATTCTCGAGTTTTTCGAACGACACCACGGCCGACGCCTCAGGAATCAGCTGCTGCGGGTGTTCAAGACGCTCAACATCGGGCTGGCAGCGCTCCCGCCCGAGATCGCCGTGCAGGTCATCTTGTACGCGGACACAGACACGCTCCTCACGCTCCGACGCACCTGCAAAGCCTTCCGCGACCTGGTCCAGGAGGAGGTCGTTGCGCGCTGTCGGAAGACGGTCGTCCCTCCGCAGGTGACCTACGACGCGATGATCATCGCCAACCAACATGACAACCGGCGGAGCAGTCGGTATCTGTGGCATGAGAACCCGGTAAGCCAGCCCCTCGCTCGCCTGGTGGCCCAGGGCCGGTACGACGCGGTCCGGTTCTGTCTGGAAGACGCAGGGCTCGATGCTAATCTCTACGACCTCAGTGCCAGGCCGTTGCTGCACATCGCCGCCTTCTACGCCCAGGTCCCCGTGGCCCGGCTGCTGCTGCAGCGCGGGGCCGACATCTTCGCCACGGCGCGGGTCAACCGCAACACGGCGCTGGACTTCGCGGTGTGCCCTGAGCTCAGCCACGATGAATTCGGGCCGCCTCTGGGCTATGGGATCCGGAGCTTTGCGCTGGACGCGATGGTGCGACTGCTTCTATCCGAAGGGGCCCGCTACGCCACGAACGCCGGGCCCGGGGCCCTGCCCTACCTGTGTAGGATGCCGGATTACATCAACCTGCTTCGCCAAGCGTACGACAACGGCACGTATCTTAGCGATGAGGCGATCGCGCGTCAGCTGCTCCTATGCGATCTGATGCCTGGGCTGGTCCCGCCCGTTGTCGCCGCCTTGCCGGAGGCGCTGGGCCCGGTAATCGTGACGGCATCGGGCAGGTCGGCGATCGAAGCGGCCTTGAGCTTGGGGCATATGGAGCTCGCCCTGGCGCTGATCAACTGCGGGTTCCCCTTGAATCTGGGGCTCAACGAAGACCAGTACCAGTACCCAGAGCTCTCGTACCCGTTGGACAACCTGCAACGCAACAATTTCCTCACGCATGTCTGGGACCGACAGGTTGTCATGGCTCTGCTGGCGCGGCCACAGCTCCAAGCGGCCGGGTTCGGACAGTGGATCATCCAGACCGGCCGCTTGGAGCATCTGATCCTTGATGAGCCTCTGAACTACCAGATCCGCACACGCAACTGGCCCATGGTCAACCAGATGTTGCGGATGGGCTGGGGTAATCCCGCGGGCTATGCCGAGGAGCTGTCATGAGTGTGGGACTGGACTTATTCAGACTGCGCGACATTGTGATTACCTGTAGCTCTTGCTTGTAATGATTGGTTAATTTTAAATCTAGATTTCAACTTAGCTTCTCGAAGAATATTGCCTGAATCTCTCTTCAGCTTCATCTGTAGAGATAAAACCCGATCTTGTCTCTCACAGTATTGTCTTCAACGATGACTAGTTATCATGTGAAGTACTGTACTTCTCCGACTAGGCGTCTTCCCTGACGCAAGGCCAGGAACCAGAGCACCAACTATTTTCAGCATTTCATTTGTGAATAGAGACAAGATCAATCAAGTCGTCGACGGTAGGGATCAACCGGAATGACATCATGTCCCAAAGAAGGGGAGGTCTAGGGCAAGCTGTCAGGGTTGGTGGGTCACGGGAGCTCCATCTGGGCGGGCGTCATCTCATCTTGTCCCGTCTTGCCAAGTCAAAACAAGGAATTCACTTCCACTCCTCCACCACCAATGAGAATCCTAACGTGTCTTTTTCCTGGCCCCATCCATTGCCTTCGAGATCGGCATCTCTATATATGACCATGAGAAGGAGGTCTCATTCATTATCCCTGGAATTTATCATTGATTATATCGCCATGAAACCTCTTTTTTGATTCCATAGGACTCTCCTGGAGTCACTCCTAGCCAGAACGCGGCCGTGGCCTGCTTACTCTCAAGACAAAGTAACCATGCCGGATAGCTCGTCAAGCCCTCACACGCAGCAGAAGAGGTCGCTTGGAGAGCGGCTTCGAAGCCCATTCCATCTGAGACCGGCCGACGACGATGAACCGCAAAACTGGTGGATAGCATCGACAGCAATCCCGCTCATAGCTGCCACAACCGCTCCCTTGGCGAATGTCATGTCCATCGTGGCGCTAGTGTCATCATGGAAGGTGACAGTTCTGAGCCAGACCGATTCGTTCGGGCAACCCATCCAGAAGTCCTTGGCAGACCCACGATGGTAAGTCATCTGTAACCTTCCGACTCACAGCGTCTAGCCCTAACCTGACTAGGTGCATAGCTCTCAATGCGACGTCGCTGGCATGCGGCTTGGTGGGTAACTTGTTCCTCCTGTTCAACTTCACCCGGACAGTGCGGTACATCATTGCGTTGCCTGTATCGATCATCCTCTGGTTTCTCTCAACCTCCATCTTGATCGGTATCACAGCCGCGATGCATGTCTATTCTCCTCCCGTACCTCCCAATGAGACGTACTCGCAGGCCTACTGGAGTGCAGTGATCGCCGCAGTCCTGTACTTCATCCTCGGTGTGATACTACTGATCAACATGCTCGGATATGTTCTCGGACACTATCCGCAGTATTTCGCATTGACCGACGGCCAGCGCACGCTCATTCTGCAGACGACGGCGTTTGTGGTGTGGCTCATAATCGGGGCCGCGATTTTCAGCAATGTGATCGGCATCTCCTTCGCAGATGCGCTATACTTCTCGGACGTCACCATCCTCACGCTGGGTTACGGCGACATCACCCCCACGACTCCGGTGGCAAGGGGTCTCGTCTTTCCGTACGCGGTCATCGGCATGATCATCCTGGGTCTCGTGGTCAACAGTGTCCTGCAGTTCGCACACGACATTCAGTACAAACAGGTGATACGCAAACACGTGGAACGCAAACGCCGAGCAACCGTCAGCCGCTCCGTGTCCATCGAGCCCGGGGCGACCTCCCAGCTCGAATACAAACCCCGGCGCTCCGGCCGGCCGGTCCGCACCACGATCGACGCCTTCGCCTTGATGGGTCGCCCGAAGCAGGTCGTCATGAAGGAGGAGAAAGACCGGTTCGACGCGATGCGGGCCATCCAGCGGGAAACGCTCTTCTTCCGCCGATGGTACAACCTCGTGCTGAGCTTGATCATGTTTGGGATTGTCTGGACGATTGGCGCGGTGGCCTTCTGGCAGATGGAGAACATCACGTACTTCCAAGCGCTCTACTTCGGCTTCTGCTCGCTCCTGACGATCGGGTACGGCGACATCACCCCGTCGACCAACGCCGCCAAACCCTTCTTCATCGTCTGGTCCCTCGTCGCCGTGCCCACCATGACCACGCTCATCTCGGAGATGAGCGACACCATCGTCGCGGGCTTCAAGCACGCCACGGACGTCGCGGCCGACTGGACCGTCCTTCCGCAATCCGGCCGCTACGCCAAGTTCGTCCGCAAGATCCCGCCGCTGTACACGGCCCTCAAGCACCGCGAAGAGCACAAGCGCGTCGCCGAGGGCTTCCCCATCGGGCCCGCCACCGACGACGGGGGGGACCCGGAAATCGGCGCCAAGCGGGCCAGCGACTTGTCCCCGAGCACCAGCCCTCAGGACGGCGGCACCAAGCCCAAGGCAGAAACCATCGATCAGCTCGCGACCGAACCGGGCCCCGCCGATGCCGACGAAGGCCCCGTCTCCAACATCCGACTGGCACAAAAGCTGGCGCTCGCGATCCAGCGCACGACGCGGGACGCCCTGAACGCGGAGCCGAAGCAGTACACATACGAGGAATGGGTCGAGTTCACGCGGCTGATCCGGGCGACGGACCCGACGTCGAGCGTCGAGCTGCGCGAGGACGAGTACGGCGTGCTGAACTGGGACTGGATCGGCGAGACGAGCCCCATGCTGGCCAGCCAGACGGAGCCCGAGTGGGTGCTGCACCGGCTCTGCGAGAGCATGATCCGGTGTCTGGACGCGACGGCCAAGACCCGCGACCGGGAGGAAGACGAGCCGACGCTGCGGAAGGAGCGCGCGATCAAGTTCGCGGAGGGTTGATTTGGGGGTGGCTTTTATCTCTTAGTTTGCGGTGATATCATTCCTGGTGCCCAGTATTCTCCTGCATTGGATCTGACCCCTGGACTCCCTGCATATATTCGATTCTACTGTATTCATATATTCGACTGATTTATCAATTGGACATAAGTCATTAATCATCGACTTCGACGGTGTATTGAACTTCCCCCCTTCCATTTTCTAGCCATAGCATACAAATCAATCGTATCTCAAGTCCTGTACAGTACTGTACCCTCGAACTTCAAACTCTTCATCTCATCCCAACCCCAGATCCACAATCAACAACCAACACTCAACACTCAACAACCAAAGACCGAGAACACCGAGCATGCCGAGCACTGCTCTCCAGTCCTCCTACGTACAAAGCCACCCACCCAACCCAAGAACTGAACTAGCAACCCCCTCTCTTACCCCGCCTCCACCTCCACCTCCACCTCCAGAACTCACCCTCCCCGTCACCCCGGACCCCGGACCGAACCCCGCATCCCGTATCCTGGTGGCACAGTGCTGTGCTGTGCTGTGCTGTGCTGTGACGCTGTGCCACCTGCAAGGCGAGGCGGGGTAAGTAACCCACCTAAGGGCTAAAACCGACAAGCTGTCCGACAGATCATCAACCGCACGGGACAAGACAAGATTCTCCGCTCCAGCTACAATAACCCAGCCATCTACCCACCTCCCCTCCCTGTCTCCCTCTCACCCTGATTCTTTTCAAAAACGCTCGTCGCTGGACTTCACCCACATCCCCAGGTTCGTTTTTGACTCTCCAGGGAAGCGATACATGGGATATACGATTGAGCTTGATACAGTTTACAGCCTGTAATCTACCCTATACTTATCAACCATTAACCACCTCCAAAGATAAAGACAAGGACCACCAATCCTCCGCTCCAATATAAGCCCCACCAACCGTACCTTACCCTACCGCAAACACAAAAAAATGCCCCGTCTAGACGGCAAAGTCGCCATCGTAACCGGTACGTTCTCGTCCCCCCCATCCCCTACCCAACACCCAACACCCACCCAACCTCAAACCAACTAACCCACCCCACGCAAAGGAGGAAGTTCCGGCTTCGGCGCGGCGATCGTGCGCCGCTTCCACCAAGAAGGCGCCCGGGTGATCATCGCGGACATCAACGCCGCGGCCGGGGCGGAGCTGGCAGCCACGGCGCCGACGGCGCTGCATTTCGAGCGGGTCGACGTGACGGTCGCGGCGGACTGGGCGCGGGTGGTGGCGATGGCAGTCGAAAAGTTCGGGCGCGTGGATGTCTTGGTCAATAATGCGGGGACGACGTATCGGAATAAGGTATCCCCTTTGCTGTAGTGAATGGTTTCGGGGAAGAAGCCTGGGCTATGCTGATAAGACTGTCGATACAGCCAACGGTCGAGGTCACCGAGGCGGAGTGGGAGCGAGTGTTCACTGTCAATGTGAAGAGTATCTTTCTCGGGAGCCAGGTGTTTGTGAAGCGGCTGCTGGAGCAAGGGGGCGGGGGGTCGATGATCAATATCTCGTCGACCGGGGCGACGAGGCCGCGGCCCGGGTTGGTGTGGTATAATGCATCCAAGGGGGCGGTTTCGAACGTGAGTGTCCACAGCCCCGTGGTTTTTGAGGAGAGTGGCGTCGATTGGTGGTGGCGGATGCTTGAAGGCACTGCTGATACTCCGGATCAAATGACGACAGGCAACCAAAGGTCTCGCGGCCGAGTATGGTCCGCACAATATCCGGGTCAACACCGTCTCGCCGTTGCTGTCGGGGACCGGGTTGTTCTCCTTGTTCACCGGCATGGACGATACGCCCGAGAACCGGGAGAAGTTCATCGGGAATGTGCCCTTGGGACGGCTGACGGAGGTGGATGACGTCGCCAACATGTGCGTGTATCTCGCGAGTGACGAGGGGAGCTTCGTCAATGGGGCGGAGATGATAATCGACGGAGGCAAGTGTATCTGAGGTTTTCCGGCGACGCGCGGACTGGGGAGTGACTCGATCGAGCGCTCAAATCGTTAGTGAATTTGATGGAGTATCAGCGCTCAATGCCGAGCCACCAGACATACATTGCCATGCAAACCATTAAGATTGTTCATCCTGTCCACGAAGGATCAAAAACAGAGAGATCCTCTTCCAGTAGCCCCATCATATGCTGATTGCCCGAGAACCAATTCCCCAGTTGATCAGTCGGTGGCATAGGGGCTTCAGTGAAGGCCCCTTCATTCCCAGACCTCATGACCCCGGTGACAGCCCCAGCTCCCGCCGTGGAAGGCGCCGACGTCCACACGGCCCCGCCCTCTTGATTCGATGCAGGTGCAAGACCCAGCGCAGTTAGATAGGTATCGAACTCCTGCCCAACAGACACAAGGTTTTGATCCTCTCGTGCCTGCGCCTGTGCTTTGGCCTCGATGTACAGCCTTGCGACATTACTGAGCACCTGGCACAGGCGGTATAGCTTGGCGATGGCCTCCGAAAGAAAACAGTTCGGCTGCACGCAGAGCACAAACTCCTCCAGACGGTTCAGGTCCTCCCACGAGGACGTCGCTATTGTGTGGCAGAATAACACCACAAACGGCACGAAGGGAGCGTAGAGAACCGTCCTGCAAGAACCTCTATGAGTGTCTACACAAAAACACCTTGCTGGAAGCCAACGTACCAGTGGAGATAAGACGCTTTGAAATTCTCAGTCATTCCCTTGACCTCGATCATGGTCTCTTTCAGTAGTTCGAGTGCTTCCCGAGCCGTCGTGATGCATTCTTTGACGAATGTGCTTTGCGAGTCTCGCGATGGAGGAATCGCTCGATATATTAGGGTCATCACCGACTTTCGGGCAATCTTGTCCGATATCATGTAGATCTCGTCCATGTGGGATAGCTTCTGAGTGTTCATGATGTGCTGTGATGGATCAGCCGTCTGCTTTGGCCCGCCGAAGGTGGCACAACACATACATCAAATGGTACATCAATAGTCTCCATCACTTGAGCAGCCAGCTGACGGGCATGCTCGGCTCTCTCGTTCTCCGGCTGCGACAATGCCGCGGGGCTGTATAATCGCTCGTACACTTGGCCTTGGATGGTGGCGAATTTAATCCATATCTGGAAAATGCTATTCCAGGGCTCCTCTGCTCCAATGACGTCGTTCGGCCCCGGCATGGTAATATCATAGTCTTGGATTGTTGACGCCCGCCCAAGGCGTAAAGATATCGCTTTGTCGAGGGCATAAACCGTCCAAAACAATTGGCGTCCTCTGAAAATGTCACTTTCGGGATCAGTTGATGAAGCTCGATGGTACCCCAAAGTCTGACATAGTCGGGCTGCCGTAGAGGTCAATGTCAGAGCGAACGACGGCTTCGACATCTCGATCGCATAGAGAGCCTACATAGACAGCCGTTAGTGTCCGCAACAGTTTGTCAAAAGAGCCCCCATCTAGAAGAGTCCTTACCCCCAACGCAAGAGCTTCGATATATTCCGCTCTGGCCGGCATACAGATACTCAAGTTGGCCAGCGCCGTTTCTATATTGGTTTGACAGAGCCGGAGATACCGCTGGTACTCGTCTCGCGTCTTCGGGTCCTCGACGGAGGAGATGCAGTCACTGATCACATAGTAGAGACCTCCGTGGACGACGATGAACGCCGCGTCCGAGAACTCCTCGGTGGCAAAGTAGACCTCCCGACATTTCTCAATGAGTCGCTCGCACGTGAGGAACGGACAGACCCCCTGCAGAATGTTGGGTTTCTCTAGCGCTGGAGATGAGTGATGAGGGTGTATGCTATCGTTGCAGGGATGGACCGGTACCTTTGAACTTCCGGAGAAGCGACAGGACCACCTGCACGGGCGGCATGGCCAGGTCTCGGATCCCGGACCCCAGGATGCTCTTCTGGTTGGGGAAGCGGATCTCGCGGGCCGGCGAGTGCGCCTGGTGGTCCTGCATGCTGACCATCTGCTTCAAGGTCGAAAGCGCCGCCTGGATGGTCGGCGACGACACCTGCAGCGCGCTGCGCGAGACAGCCGTCTCCAGGAACTCGCTGGCGTAGGCGGAGTGCGCGGCGAGAGACGAGTTGCCCTCGAAGGCGGGGGTCGCCTCAGGGTCCTCCACGGGAGCCGGACCACTCGACGCATGGCCGGGGACGGAGGGACTCATACGGCTGGAGATGGGCGTGGAGTGGTAGTACGGCTCCGGGACACTGCTGGTCGTCGCTGTGTTCGACCGAAGTTGGCGGAGCAGGTCCTCAATGCTCCCCAGGCGCTCCTCGATCAGATCGATCTTCCTTTCACTGGATGTGGGGCACAGATCAGATCGGAACGAAAGACATACTCCGGGATGGTCGCACACATACTACTGACTAGAGATCAAGACCCGCTTCCGCGGCTCTTGAGGCTTCTGGCCTGCCCCGGTCGATCGGCAGATAATCTGTGAACTGCGACAGTTGGAGCACGGGGATCGCTTGTCGCAGCGTATCTGATAAGAAGACAGACACAGACAAGCAAGTCAGTGAACCGACGCAAGGATATCAGGCAAGCGAGAAGCTGCATAGAGTTATGGCTAGACAGTTGGCCTCGTACCTTTCGCAAACGACATTGGTCACACTGCAGGTAGGCAAGTAAAGTAGTAAGCATGTGACCTGGTAGCACGCAGCCGCCGCAGCAGCAGCAGCATCAACTGATTGACTTACTGCACGTCTGCCAAGTGACTCCTTCCCATCGCTCTCGGGACCCTCGGCCTCCAGATGGTCCATAGCGTTGGAGAATGAATGGAGGAGGAATGTCGATAGCGTGCCTGATTGGGATGGAGGGCAGATTGCAGGTTGCTGTAATGGGGGAATTGGCAACCGGAAAGAAATGACATACAACCGTTTCGGAACCCGCGGGTGCCGCCCACTAAAAAAAATAGTTAACTAACCTAGTCCCTGAAACCTTTGAGTTGGGGAAAATAACTAGTTATGGGTCTCGACTTTTGTCTTGGATTTAAATTCCCTCGCCTTTGCCCTTTCCTAAGGTTTCCTTCGACCCTGATCGGTGGATTACCTACTCTTTTACCATGAGCCCCACACAATTGTCCCGTGTATACTCAATAGGAATTGTGACTGCCTAGGAAACTAGGCATCATAATTAATATTACTCAAGCGAGGAGAAAGCACCATTGGAAGCGGTTAAATCGATGAAAAAATTCTAGACCGATCAGCAGCGCTCTCGACACAGTACACTAGCTGTCGGTGAATTTGTCGCACCATCTATCTGCACATAAACCTCTATGCTAATATTTTTCTTTTCGGTCCATCGTCTATCGTCTATTGGTCGTGGTCACATCATATCTACGTGGAGAGGACCCCAGCATGGTCTCACTTCATAGGAGTCGCGTGTGCACATCGCGGCCTAGATCAGGCCAGTCGCAGGTCGCCAGAACACTGATTCAGGCGGGAGATAAAGCGCCCGATCTGCCGGATGGCAAATGTCTCGGAACCAGAGAGGCTGTTGCTGCTGCTACTGCTGCCCAACTCCCTGCTTTCTGACACCTGCAGCTCGGTTCGGAGGCCTCAGGCATCCGGTGGAAAAACCTGTCACATGAGGTAGGTCGCCCTTCACTTCTTGATTCCAATGACGGCCAGGTTGCGGGGACTCTCGTGGTAGTCGAAAACAGGTTCAACCCAGCAGTCCTTGACGGAGTCGTGCTCTCGCAGAAACTGCCAGCGGTCCACCACGATGATGGCCTCTACCAAGGCAGCACTGAAAGCCATCAAGCTCCATACCACGCTGAGATTCTTTTTCGCGTACCAGTACTCTTCCACATAGCGGTTCAAATCCTCTTCAGTGAGGTCACCCATCCCAGCTTTCACCTTTTCCCCAAAGTGCGCATCACGGGAAAGCTTAGCCACGGCAGCGGTAGCATAGGCGGGGAAGGAAATAAAAGCGGATTTGCGTAGAGAGCCCACAATCAAGGGGTTCCCTGCGTCCTCGGGTGCATCTGATTCGCCGTAGAGATCGTCAGGGATCTTGGGTTTTGCGACAACTCCGCGATCCACCAGAACACGCTGGAGAAGGCTTCGATAGAAGTGTCGAGTGAAGAAGTCCTCGCTGTCTTTCCGGCCCCAATTGTAAGGAGCCTGCAAGGACATGGACCGTGCTGTAATGTTCAGCTTGACACCTGTTCCGCTCTCATGCTCGTAATCTTCGAAGCGCTTTGACATAGGAAATCCATGAGGATCGTACGCGACGGCATCCTGCGTCAGGCGGGGATGCATGGATCGGAGGATAGGAAGCTTGTAGGTGGCAGGGCCTAGCCTCTCTGTAACTAAATTGTAGCAGCAGCCGATCATAGCAATGGCTTTGACCGACGGGTTCAGGGTCAGAGAGCGGACACCGTGGTGCAGTAGGTTGCCACAAGAGTGGAGGGAGATGACCATGACCTTGGCGTCCACCGGCTTCTGGTCTGCCTTGGTACCATTGGTCGCAACTGCACTGTCATCCGTGGTTGTTTCGACAGCAGGCAGAGGAGCCTCGATCACATCTTTGATGATCGGCTCCAGATACCCGTCCTTGATCTCATGTTCGATATAGTCCATCGTGCCTCTCGGCTTGTTGGGATCATCCTCTTCTTCCACGGCCGCCTTGGGCGCGTTCCGATGGGGCTTGAAGCCAATCTCGCCGGGCGCAAGGCTGACGTCACGGAAGACATTAATCATGGCCAGGCCCTCTCCTTCCCCATTGGCAGTCGCTGTCGTTGGGTCCTCCTCCTGAGGCCTCTGCTCTGCAATGTTGGACTCCCCTGCATTGGGGCGCGACTCCACCGCTGCAGGCGACTCAGGTTCATCGCACACCTTGCATTTGGCAGCCTTCTTGTTGTACATGTTGACCTTTTTCTTCTCCTTCAGACGAGCATGCACATCCATGCCCTGCGCACCACTGATGAACTGATGCTTCCGCTCGATAGCCACGATGTGCCGGTGGTACGGCGCAGAGGCAAG